TATAGACAAGGGCTTGGATTTGTTTGCGCTCTCGGAGACTTGGCTCCAACAGGACGACTACGTTAGATTGAATAAGTGCACTCCTCCGACGCATGTTAACCACCAGAAAGCCAGAACTACAGGTCGCGGCGGTGGTGTTGCGATTATATCACACACCAACTTGGTTCTTAGTCCCAAAACCAACAATGCTTTTCACTCGTTTGAAAACGTACCACCTGTCCTGGGTGGAGAAAACAAAAAGCGGTGCTATTTATAGTTTTATACCGACCTCCTGGTCCTTACAGCAAGTTCCTAACAGAATTCTCTGACTTCATTTCAAACCTAGTTTTGGAATGGGAAAACATAGTTATAACTGGAGACTTCAATATACATGTGGACGACAGCACTGACAGCTTAAACAAAGCTTTCAGCGCCGTACTAGATGGTGTTGGTTTTACTCAGAATGTTGAGGAACCTACTCACATTCATAACCACACCTTGGACCTTGTCCTGACCTACGGCTGTGATGTCTCCAATGTTGACATCCAGCGTCAAAGCTCGTTGCTGTCTGACCATTTCTTGATCACGTTTGATCTCGCTTTGGAGGACTTTCCTGTCCCGCAAGATAAAACCATAATGAAAAGAACCTTAAATGATAAATCTATCACAAGGTTCAAAGAACTAATACAGCCTATGTTGAATACTGCTGCAGGTGAACCTGTTCACAGCTGCTCAGTCATTGACCAAACGGTGGACAACACTATGGAGTCTTTAAAATCTGCATTAAATGCAGCAGCTGGTACAGTGTTCAACTCCACAGGGAGTGGAAAGCAGGTCTCCGAAACTACAAGAATGCCCTTCGCAAGGCTCGAACTCAATACTATTCAACTTTAATAGAAGCGAATAAAAATAACAGTAGATTTTTGTTTAGCACCGTCGCTAAACTCACAAACTGCCATAGCGCAATCGAGCCTAAAATTCCAAGCTCACTGAGCAGTGTCGACTTTCTCCACTTCTTTAATAATAAAATTACATCCATCCGTGACAAACTGGAGGAGGTTACTCCTGCTGTTGGTAGTGGAGAAGCTGAAGCGGCATACGTGACTTCCCACTTAGACTCTTCAGTGGGCCTCGATAAATTCATGGCTGTGAGCCAAGCAGAGGTGATCTCTGTGGTCACATCCTCAAAAGCCTCAACTTGCATGTTAGACGCAGTACCAACATGGCTCTTCAAAGACATACTTCCTTTGATAATTGAGCCTATCGTAAATATAATAAACGCATCCATACAATGTGGCTATGTCCCACAAGCTTTTAAAACCGCTGTAATCAAACCCCTTCTGAAGAAAACAAACCTGGACCCAGAAATACTTACAAACTACAGACCGATCTCAAACCTCACTTTCATATCTAAAATCCTGGAAAAACTTATAGCTGAGCAGCTTCGCTGCCACCTGCAGGAAAATAATATGTTTGAAGTCTTTCAATCTGGATTCAGAGCTCATCATAGACTGAAACGGTACTAGTCAAAGTCACAAATGACTTACTACTAGCTGCTGATAATGGACAAGTGTCAGTGCTGGTCCTACTGGACCTTAGTGCTGCATTTGACACAATAGACCACAGCTTTCTACTGCAGAGGCTAGAATGTGATATAGGTCTTAGAGGAACAGCCCTTGGCTGGTTTAAATCCTATTTATCAGATTGGTATCACTTCGTCAACGTAAATCAGAACTCGTCGCCTTATTCTGGAGTAGAATTCGGTGTGCCGCAGGGTTCGGTACTCGGACCGATTCTTTTCACTCTCTACATGCTGCCATTAGGAAACATTATTAAAAAGCATGGAATTAATTTCCACTGCTATGCAGATGACACACAGCTTTATCTGTCGATGAAGCCAAATCAGACAGATCAGCTAGAAAAGCTCAGTGCCTGCATAAAGGACCTTAAAATGTGGATGACTCTTAACTTCCTACTTCTCAACCCGGAGAAGACAGAAGTGAGCCTACTCGGTCCAAAGCGCCTGCGTGACACCCTCACTAACCAGATAATTACTCTGATAATGTCAGTATTATACCCAGTAACACTGTGAGGAATCTTGGAGTCATTTTTGACCAAGAACTCTCCTTCAAGGCTTATATAAGCCAAGCAACTAAAACGGCGTACTTCCACTTATGGAACATCGCTAAAATTAGGAATTTCCTTCCTAAAAGTGACACGGAAAAACGTATTCACGCGTTTGTCACCTCAAGGCTCGACTACTGTAACGCTTTACTGGCAGCGTGCCCTAAAGCCTCTTTGAAGAGCTTCCAGCTCGTTCAGAATACAGCAGCTAGGATCTTAACAGGTACCAAAAGGAGGGAGCACATAACTCCGGTGTTAAAATCACTCCATGGCTCCCTGTGGAGTACAGAATAAAGTTTAAAATCCTTCTCTTAACATATAAAGCCATAAATGGCTTGGCTCCTTCTTATCTCCAAGACACGTTAGTGTCGTATCAACCAAGTCGAGCGTTGCGCTCACAAAACGCCAGACGTCTGGTGGTTCCTAAGGTCTCAAAAATCACTGTTGGCGGCAGAGCATTTAGCTCCAAGCTCCTTTACTGTGGAATCAGCTTCATTTATGTTAAGGAAGCAGATACGGTCTCCACATTCAAGGCCAGGCTTAAAGCACTCTACTTTAATTTAGCATATAATTAGGTAATATAATAATATATGGTGTATATATTATATATATATGCTGTATTATGTTATATATTATGTTATATATTATACAATATATGTATTATGTTTTGTATTGTGTTATGTTGTATATTATGTTATATATTATGCTATGTTGTGTATTACATATAATATATATGGTATGTATGGTATATGTGATGTATATATGATATATAATATATAATTAGGTTTGTTTGGATCGGTTTGCACACCTGGTGTGCAATCCATGAATCTTGGTGCTGTAACCTGGGTTAGCCTAGCCGTGGCTGCTGCTGTCTCGCCTCCTTTCAGATACGCTCTCTTTATTCAAGGCTAGGTTTAAAACAGTCCTCTTTAGTTTAGCATATGGCTAGGAAGGTAAGACTCAGGGAAGGCTAAACTCCTCAGACTGTCAGTCAAGCTGCATAGGGAGTCAGTTTGCTGGGAGAAGTATGGTAACTTGAGCACTATCCTCTCCTCCTTCCTACTTTATCTGTTAAGCATTTTTAGGATTTTGACTGTAGTTTGTTCATTGCTATTCACCCGTTGTCCCATTGTCTGTTTCATGGTACGATGACGGGATCTCTGAGCCTGGCCTCCTCCATCTACACCTGCGGACTGCCCCGCCCGACCCGCCTGGGAGTGCTTCAGTCCTGCACCGGACCTGTCCACGTTCAGCGGCCACTGGTCCACGTTCTGTAGCTAGCTTAGGTCCTAGATCATTAGCCTGTCCGTCCGGAGGAGCGGATCCCTTTCTCAAATGGGTCTCCCTCCCTGTGGGTTTCCCTAGTTCTCCCCAAGGTTTCTCACTTTTTCCCACTGGGTTTTTTAAGAGTTTTTCCTTGTCGATGCAGGAGGGTCTTGTTGGACAGTTAGTGTCCAACAGAAAGGATTGGTGATGATCAGGACACTTTAGCATTCTACAACATGCTAAATTTTTTTATCTGTGTGTGCTTTATATTTTTCATGTGTTTTAACTGTTGATTCTCTGACCTGTGTTGGTGATTTCAATGGTTTTGTTAAGTCCTCTGAGATGACTTCTGTTGTGACCTAGGGCTATACAAGAATAAATTGTATTGTATTGTATTGTGTATTGTATTGTATATATAGGTGGTTCTTCTTTTTGCAAGCCTTAAGTATGCCTTTGTTACCCACGGCTTCTCTTTGTTGGCCCAATTCTTAGTTCAGTGTTTTAATCCTGATTCCTGCTTACAGACAGAGATAGAAGCTCTCAAAACCTGTAGTGAGGAGCTCCAAGGTGTGGTCTGATGAGGCTGTGGAGCAGCTGCGTGCGTACATGGAATCCACGGACTGGGACTCTTTCAGGGCTGCCACAGAGAGTTTGGATGACTTCACGGACACTGTGACGTCTTACATTAAATTCTGTGAGGGCAGCATAATTCCATCCAGGACCAGGGTCATCTACAATAACGATAAACCCTGGTTCACTTCTAAACTCAGGCAGCTCAGGAAACTGAAAGAGTCCACCTTCAAAGAGGGAGATAGCAGAGGGTATAAGGTGGCCAAATACCAATACAGGGACGAACTCAAAGCGGCCAAGGCCCGGCACACAGAGCGTCTACAACAGCAGTTTGCGGTCAACGACCCGGCCTCTGTCTGGAAGGGGCTCCGTTTGATCACCAACTAGAAACCAAGAGCCCCCACTGTGCTGACGATCGCAAATTGGCTGAGCAGCTAAACCAGTTCTTCAGTCGCGTTGATGTTGTTCCTGACACCTCGCCCCACTGCTCATTCGACACCTCCCACCTCAGCACCTCTGCCCCCTCACTGTCAATAGGAGGATCATTGTTTACACCCGCGTGTGCATGCGCCCCTCGCTGGGTGGCGAGAACACACAGCGGGCCATACTGAAGAATGGATACCACAGTACTTTTAAAAGACTCAGGCTGAGTTTACACGGAGACAATGTGGCAGTAAAACGGTATAGTTGGATGTCGGTTTCTACCAACCGTTCATACAAAGACTGTGTTCCAGGGGGGTGAAAACGTAAGTGTTCAGATCCAGCCTGCAGAGTGGGACAACTCAGATACGCTGCACAGCGGGGGCTCTCTTTCACACCCACGAGAGGGAAAAGGTGTGAAATCACCCTCTGCTCTAACCCCCGCCTCCGCGCTGCTCCCCGCACGTAAATTTGGACATGCGCAGTAGCAGAGAACAAACATCAACAACAATGGCGGCGGTCACACTAACTAGCTTCGTGGGCTTCCAGCGCGGCCCAGCGGATAATTCTACACCTTCGTTTGTCCAAACGAGAAGCTCTAGTTTCAGTTTCCATTTTCACAGCTGCTGTTAAAAGGCAGAATGATGTTGGTGCGTTCTGAGGGTCTGGCACAGGAAGTGAGTACACTGCCGAGAGAGGGGCTGGGCACGGGGCTGGGGGTCGTGTGTCGTGTTGTAAAGTTTCTCTGCCCACTACTGGCCGAGCGCTAGAACTACATCTGTTAATAGCCTGGAAACGTCTGCGCAGCGTCTTAGTATAAACAGGGCCTCAGTGGGCGAATAGCACTGTATACAAGCATTTTAATGCAAGAAGATCAGAGGATATATAAAATCAAGCTAAAAATAAGTATATGAGACCGAACTGAACAAATCCAAAGCCCATATGAGACCTGGGATGACGAGAGAAAACATTGGTCAGACTCACCTCTGTTTTGGCACCTATCTGCTGGGACTGGACTCAGAGAAATTAGTTCTTACTTCAAAACCCGAGACCCTTCACTCAAGAAGGGTCCGTGGTTTTTCACCGCGGTAAAGTGGCCCGACATTTTGCCGTCGCGGTAAAGTACATTGAAAGCGGTTTGCTCCTTTTTGCTGTTACTTACGGTAAAGGTGGAACAGGAAGCCGCGGGGATGAGCAACCCGGCTTCCCGTTCTACGTTTACCATAAGTAGCAGCATAAAAGGGCAACCACTTTACCGCGGACGTTTTTCGCTGTTCTTTTCCGAAATAATTTGAAAAAAAACGTAATCTGTCCCCAGCGGGCCGTACAACCGACTACACAACAGGAACGGGCCATTTGATTCAGTAAAACCTCTCTACAAACGTCTAAAAATAGCTAACTCTGTAGCATTCAGGTAGCTTTCAATGCTATAGTGCCAAAGTGCTATAGTGCGGAACAACTATAAACTACGACGTCACTCCTAGATCCTCCTACAGCTCCAAATCAAACGAGGCGACAGTTTTCCAGGCTGCCTCTCCGTTGCGCTGCCTCTCCGGATTGTATCTCACCCGCCACCCTGAGACACTGCGCGAACGAGCTGTCCCCTGTCTTTACCGACATCTTCAACATGTTGCTGGAGTCCTGCCACATCCCCACCTGCTTCAAGTCCTCCATCATTGTCCCCATCCCTAAGAACTATAGTTACTATAAAAGTAACTAGTTACCGGTAAAAGTAACTTACTTTTACGTTCTGTTCTGGAACATAATGTGCACTCGACATGCACATTTTTACCTTTAACCTCAGTGAGTTCGAAATATTGCCGATATTTCCATCTGGAAAAGGCTGTTTTGCTGCTGGAGTCCTCCTTACTCTTCATCTCTGTCTGTGCTGTAAGCTCTAAACACCAACACTCGCCACTGTGAATGTGGAAACACCAGTGACGAGCAGTGAGGTTGGTGAGGCACTGACTTCAGCCCAATCAGGTGAACATATATATCATATAAATCAACTGGACCTAGAGAGCGGCTTATTCACTATTTGTTTGGCTACAGCAGGATTTGTTTCATGCCTGCATTTTTTGCTCATATAAAACGCTATGAAAAAGCACATTTAAAAGTGTGTTATAGCCTTATAAATGACCTGCACAGACCACTTTGGTTCAGACCAGTTCCATGTTTAAGTCCAGATAATAGTTTGAGCGTAGATATGTAATCCTCCATTTGGAAATAAGTCAAATGAGTTTTAAAAAGTAAAACAAAACGCATGTCTCCCTCACAAACTTCTCTGTTTTGCAAGCTGCAGACGACCCTCGGGTGCATCTAATTTCTAAAATCAACCTTCTTACACGTCACCTCTCTTTCTTAACATTCCTATCGTCATTGAAACATTACCCTATGTGCATTTTAAAGTATCTTAAAATGTGTTATATGTATGTTAGCCAAACCTGTTGCTGCCCTTAGCAGATGAACCAGAAAAAGAAAGGAGCTTCTGATGGAGGCTAGCCTGACTTGGTGATACAAGCCGTGCGTTGAGCTCGACAACACGCGCACGAGTCCTATCATGAAGTTTAAAAAAAAGTTAATTGTGCAACTTGACTTGGGCAATGATAACGGCGTTACAGTTACAGTCACAGTAATCAGTTAGATTACTCGTTACTGAAAAAAGTAACGCCGTTAGTAACGCCGTTGTTCCCATCACTGCTGATACATGTACTGTGCTGTCACGCATGTTTGACTGACTGGCTGCTCTACCCACATGCGGCTAGCGGCCCCTTGTGATAAACTCTTCAACAGAATGTCCTAAATCCCCTCACAGGCCACGTGACCCTCAGTCCCGTCATCTATAATGCGGAGAATGATGGAGGCGTGTACACACTCCCTCCTCTTCATTTCATACCAACCGCCCCGCCACAGCTTGAAGAGCAAGACACCCCAGAACCATCTCCCCCATCTGAGGAGGCAGTCCCCCCGGAGCCCCACATAGAGGTAAATCTGCAAGAGAAGGATGGGATGCAGATCATCTCAGGTAAGCTGCACTCAACACAAACGTAAGCATTCATCTTCATCACTCCTCCTCATTTGTCCTACAGCTGAGTGTCTGGGCCAGGACGGGGCCTTCACCATGTGCCCGTCCTGTGAGCAAGTAGTCTTCACACAGACCAAGAAGATCAATGGAGAGTCAGTCTGGATCATGAGCTGCATAGTGTAAGTTTCCCACTGTCCAAATCAAATGTTAGACATCTTTGACTTTATAATGCTAATATAATACAGCCCTCAGTTTTCCCAGCTTCCGTGTATAAATCCAAAACGTAAATCTGCATAGTGACGCAGCTCCAAACAGTGAAGGTAATAAAAAAAGTCCAAATGTTGAGTTTGGGCAGAACGCATTTGGTGCGCTCGCCCACCCACTTAACTTGCCTCTGTTCCGGAATCGTATAATTTGCACTCCAGCAGCAAAAGGGCTCTCATTGTAGGTTACGTCGCAACGGCCCTGATAACCCGTGGTTGTACTTTTCAACTTTTATCTTTAGCTTTTCTCGTCTCGACAGAACATTGGGACAAAAAGCACAGTCTATACCCCGCGCACCTCATGGCAGGTCACTGAGCAGTGTGTCCTACGGGACACACCCCCAAGTTCATTCACAAAAACTTGCACGGGTCATATATTATAATAGATCCATGCATATAGAGCACAGTATTGCTACAGTACCTTGCGAAAGTATTTGGCCCCCTTCAACCTTTCGCCACATTTCAGGCTTCAAACATAAAGATATACAATTTTAATATATTTAATAAATTAATTTGTCATGAATTAACAACAAGTGGGACACAATCTTGAAGTGGAACGAAATTCATTGGATAATTTAAACTTTTTTAACAAATAAAAAACTGAAAAGTGGGGCGTGCAATATTATTCGGCCCCTTTACTTTCAGTGAAGCAAACTCAGTCCAGAAGTTCAGTGAGGATCTTTGAATGATCCAATGTTGTCCTAAATGACTGATGATGATAAATAGAATGCACCTGTGTGTAATCAAGTCTCCGTATAAATGCACCTGCTCTTTGATAGTCTCATGGTTCTGTTTAAAGCGTAGAGAGAACCATGAAGACAAAGGAACACACCAGGCAGGTCCGAGATACTGTTGTGGAGAAGTTTACAGAAGTAAGAAGTACTTACTTCTGTGGGCGCCACCACTCGAGGGAGGAGGAGGATACAACCCACGTTGGACCCGTTCGTCCATTACGCGACACGTGAGTGGCCAAAGCCCCTAGCAGCCAAGAGGCCTGCTCTGGGGTACGGCATGTACTGCAGTGTGCAGGACTGGTCCTGGACCGGTGGTGTCCCGGACATCGAGGATTCAGTCCGCATGGCCCTGCAGCCCTCCGCATCCGTGTGGCCCGGCACCAGACCTCTCCTTCCCTCCGAGCGGGACAGGATGTCTTGCCGATGCTGAATAGATGTTATGCCAATGCAGCACAGGTCGTCGCATTGGCTAACAACATGGCATTCATCACGGGGGCCCTGGATAGGTCGCTCTCCTCTGGCCAGGCGCTCAGTGGAGACCTCTTGTCACAGGCGAGGACCACCTCGGCGGCGATCCTGCATATGTGCCAGACGCTAGCCGTGGATGGTGGCCCGGACACCGAGGATTCAGTCCGCATGGCCCTGCAGCCCTCCGCATCCGTGCGGCCCGGCACCAGACCTCTCCTTCCCTCCGAGCGGGACAGGATGTCTTGGCGATGCTGGATAGATGTTATGCCAATGCGGCACAGGTCCTCGCATTGGCTAACAACATGGCATTCATCACGGGGGCCCTGGATAGGTCGCTCTCCTCTGGCCAGGCGCTCAGTGGAGACCTCCTGTCACAGGCGAGGACCACCTCGGCGGCGATCCTGCGCATGTGCCAGACGCTAGACGTGGATGGTGGCCGCTCCATGGCTGCAGCCCAAGTCGGGGCCAGGCACCTTTGGCTTGGGCTGGCTAATATCAGGGAGGCGGAGAAGAGGCAGCTGCTGGACCTGCCCATCTCTCAGACGTCCCTCTTCGGCCCGGACATGCAGGCCCTGGTGGCGAGACTGGAGTCTGCAGCCAACGACTCGGCTAGGCTAGCCCCGCACCTAGCACCGAGGCGCGAGGCCCACCAACCATCACGGAGCCGGGGCAGAGGCAGAGAGCGTTCGCCCGGGAGGCATCCTGACCCGTATCCGCGCTCTGTTGTCCATCGTCCCCCCTCGACGAGGCCCCCGGGTCCAGACAGACCCACGGGTGGCTCGCGGGAGCAACGCACCCACCGCCGACCTCCCTATGGCAGAGGAGGTCGGGGTGGAAAGAATTCCTTCAATAAAGGCCGACCGGCATTTCATCATTACTCGTTGTCTGAGTCTCATTTGGGGGTATGTAAACATGTCTAATGTGAATTCTGATTGTGTTACTTCCCGGGCACATAACGTTGCTTCGCTAGGCCTGCAGCCCCCAGAGCAGGGTGTGCAGTGCGCTACGCGAGCTACGAGCTCCGGTCCTCTGATCCATACTATGCCCTCCCAGAGAGAGGTCAGGCGGAGGGATCTGGTGAGTAGTGATGTGTGTGCTTCGGCCGAACGTGCGTTAGCCTCTCTGAGCTACAAGGCTAACACGGGGTTTCCCACTCCAGGGGATCGCCCCCCCCCTCCATGAGGCAAGAGCCAGGGGGGGGGGCGCAGCAGCCGAGTCACGTGGTATGAGCAGACCCGTACTTATGACGTCGGGCCTGCAGGACACGTGACCGCCCCCGGCGCACACGGTATGACGCAGGGGTCCCCCGGCCCTTTCGTCCACCCCCCCTCCCTGATAGGAACACCAGGAGAGGGCGGGGCCGTGACGTCTCGTGTTCCAGCTCCCGTTCCGCCCCTCGCAGACTTCTACAGCATCTGGAGGGAGCAGGGATTGCTGACGGATCCATGGCTGAGGAAAACATTGTGCAGGGGTTACGCACTGCAATTCTCCCGAAAGCCGCCACCATTCCGAGGCGTACGGGCAGCACGCTCTCAGGTACGGGGATCATTAGAGGCACTACAAGCGGAGGTCTCCTCTCTGCTGAGTCGAGGCGCAGCAGTGGAGGTAGACCCACAGGACGCCACCAGGGGGCTGTACTCCCCTTACTTCTTGGTGGCGTCCCATTTTGGATGTGCGCGTTCTGAACGAGTGCATTTCCAAACGGCAGTTTCGGATGCTGTCCACAAAACAGCTCCTCGAGTGTGTCTGTCAGGTCTATGGAGGACATCCAATCTCCCTGCCTGACGCTTACTTCCACGTGCCGATAGTTCAAGAACACAGGAGGCTCCTGCGCTTCGCAGTGGGAATTACGAGTACTGCCGTCTCCCATTCGGCTACGCACTCGCGCCTCGAACCTTCTCCAAATGCGTGGAGGCGGCACTGGAGCCGCTCAGACACGCAGGGGTAAGAATATTAACCTACATAGACGATTAGTTAATACTGGCCTCATCCAGGGAAGTGGCCGTGAGTCACACGCACTGGGTCCTGTCCCACATACAGCGCCTGGGCTTTGTGGTGAACAGGGAGAAAAGCAGGCTGCAGCCGGCTCAGCGCATGATCTATCTCGGCCTGCAGCTAGACTCTGTGACATTCCGTGCTGCATTGTCCGTGGGCAGACGGAGGAACATTACCCGTCTGGCCAGGGAGGTTCTGGCGGGCCCCAGGATCCCTGCTCGGCGCCTCAGGTCCCTGCTGGGGATGATGGCGGCGGCTCATGCTGTGGTGCGGCTAGGCCTTCTCCCCATGAGGAATTTCAGAGGTGGTTCTCACGCCTCAGGCTTCACCCCTCCCCGGACGGGGGGAGGCTTATCTGGGTTCCCCAAGTGGCAGCATCGGACATAAGATTTTGGCTCACTCCGGGTCTATTGCGGGACGGAGTGACTCTGGCCTGCGCCGTGTCTCACGTGGAGGTGTTCACGGACGCGTCACTCGAGGGTTGGGGCGGGGTCTGTAGGAGCTCTGTAGGAGGCTGCTGGTCGGACTCAGCCCGCCACATCAACCTGCTGGAGATGGAGGCAGTACACAGGGTACTGCTGCACTTTGCTCCTCAGCTGCAGGGGAGACACGTGATGGTGCGCTCAGACAACACCACAGTGGTCTCTTATCTGAACAGGCAGGGGGGCACCAGGTCCCCCGCCCTCCATCGCATGGCGACGGTGACGCTGCTGTGGGCGGCGCTGCTGTGGGCGGCGCTTCACCTTCTGTCACTGAGGGCGCGCCACGTCCCGGGGGTCCGGAACGTGGGGGCCGACAGGATGTCCAGGGGGGGGGCCCACTCCAGGACGAGTGGGGCCTGGCCCCACGGGTAGCTGCGGAGTTCTGGCGGAGGTTCGGCCGTCCAGTGGTCGACCTTTTCGCCAGTGCAGAGAACGCACAGTGCCCGTCCTGGTTCGCCTTAAGAGCCGCCCTTAGGCGTGGATGCTCTGGCTCATTACCCCTGGCCAGAGGGCCTGCTGTATGCCTTCCCACCAGTGCGTCTCCTGCCGGTCCTGCTGCGGAGGTTCGAACAGGAGAGGAGGTCGGTGATCCTGGTGGCTCCGGACAGTCCGCATGCCCGGTGGTTCCCCTTCCTGAGGGGCATGGCGGTGATGGAGCCCTGGGCCCTCCCGGACGAGCCGGGGGCTCTAGTCCAGGGGGGGGGGGCCCTGTTTTCACGCCCGATAATCGGCCGCAGGCTCTGGGTTTGGAGGCTGAGAGGCGGAACCTCGTAGACCTGGGTCTTCCCCCGGCGGTGGTGGAGACCATTCAGGGGGCGAGGGCGCCGTCCACTGTGAGGGCCTACGCCACGAGGTGGAGGCTCTTCAGCGACTGGTGCGGTTCTCGCTCCTGGGATCCCAGGCGTTGCCCGCTGGAGGGGGTCCTGGGATTCCTACAGGAGCTTTTTGACAAAGGGAGGGCTGTCGCCACCTTGGCGGTGTTCGCGGCAGCCATTACCTCGGGTCACGACGGATTCGGGGGGCCCGCTCTCATCCGTTGGTTAAACGTTTTCTGCGGGGGGCGCGCAGGAGGAGGCCCCCGCTTCAGAGAACGCCCCCGGTTTGGGACCTCAGGGTGGTCCTTAGGGGGCTGTCGGGTCCGCCTTTTGAACCGGCGGCGGAGGCGAGTCCCGAGTGTGTCGCTTTTAAGACGGCCCTCTTGCTGGCGTTGGCGTCTGCTAAGAGGGCGGGCGACTTGTGTGCGCTCTCCGTCCATGCGTCTTGCCTGTCCTTTGGAGAGGGCGACGGCATGGTGGAATTGTGGCCCAATCCGGCCTTTCTCCCCAAGGTCCTCACGTCGGCCTTTAGGTCGAGAGTCAGCAGGATTAGGGCTTTCTATCCGCCACCGCATGCCTCCCCCGAGGAGGAGCGGCGGCACCTTCTGTGTCTTGTCCATGGCCTTGGCCATGACGTCGTCATTCAGGTTGGGTGATCAGTTGTTGTGTGTCTGGGCCCCAAGAACAGGGGCGCCCCGCTGTCGGCTCAGCGGCTGGCGCACTGGGTCGCCACGGCTGTGCGGCGGGCGTATCAAGCGCAGGGTCTGGCCCCCCCAGTGGGCTTCAGGTCGCATTCCACGCGTGGGATGGCGGCCTCTACGGCCCTTCTCAGGGGGGAGTCGGTCGAGGACGTCTGCCGTGCGGCTTCTTGGGCGTCGTCCTCTTCTTTTGTCCGGTCTTATCTTTTGCATGTGTCGGACCGGTCGGTGGCCCATTCCGTGCTGAGTGCAGCGGACTGAGTTGAGACCGTTAGGTCCCTCCTCTGAGGGGGCCTTCGGTTGACTTTCCGCCCTGGTTCAGGAGCTCTTGGGAGAGGCGTCCTACAGGTGCGGTACTTATATGTGTGCTTTGGTCAATCAGGTAGTCCACGTCAGGAGCTCTTGGGAGAGTCCTGGGACTACGGGTGACCTACGGTCTGTGTTACGTGGGGGTATCCTTGGGAGGAGTGGCCCTGTGACACGCATTTGCTTCTTCTGCCCTGAGTCCTCTCACTTGTGAGGGTCTTGCTCGGGCGGAGCTCCAATCACCCTTCGCTGGCCTGCTGGGAGTACATGTTCCTACGGCCTCCGCGTTGTGTCCCACTAGCGAAGTCCTAAGGGACGTAGCACCATGACGTAGAATTAATAGTTACCTAATGTAACTCATGTTCTACGAATAGGTGCGTAGTCCCTTAGCTACGAGCCCATCAGGCCAGCCCGGCTTGGCAGAGTTCAAGAGGGGGTGCGGCCTTGTGCAGGGGCCTTTATAGAGGAGGGTGGCTGGTGATTGGAGCAAATTATTTTGATCTCTCTGGCGTGTGACCTGGGGGTCACGAGTGATATCCCACTAGCGAAGTCCTAAGGGACTACGCACCTATTCGTAGAACTTAAGTTACATTAGGTAACTATTAATTCTTTCTCCCCTGCTCTTCTCAATGTACACCAACCACTGCACCTCCAGCCACGACTCCGCAAAGCTGATCAAGTTTGCAGACGATACCACCCTCATTGGTCTCATCTTGAAAACAACGATGAGACCGCCTAGAGGAGGACATAAAGGCTCGATGAGAACAGATTCTATGTCAGAAGACATGATTGTGCAGCCTTTTTTAGTTTTTTACAAGAACACTTAAGTTTGAAACAACGTTTGGCATTTAAATTACAACCCTATACCACACAAAAAGACTGCTTTTTTTGTCTGATTGTTTATCTGATATTCAGCAAAGTGAAGATTGCCAACTGTCGGCTGTTTGATACAAGCAGTTGCCACATTGGTACATGCCACAGAAAATTTTGACTCTGAATCAGTGAATATTTTATGGTTCTTGATGGGGAGATTTACTTACAACCCTGACCCGCCTGGGAGTGCTTCAGTCCTGTCCACGTTCTGTAGCTTAGGTCCTGGATCTATAGCCCGTCCGTCTGTGGGAGCGGATCCCTTTCTCAACTGGGTCTCCCCAAGGTTTCTCACTTTTTTCCCACTGAGTTTTTCCTTGCCGATGCAGGAGGGTCTGTTGGGCAGTTAGTGTCCAACTTGAAAGACTGTGGTGATGATCCAGGACACTTTTACATTCTACAACATGTATGGACATTTATCAACATGTGTTCTATATTCTTTATGTGTTTTAACTGTTGATTCTCTGATCTGTGTTGGTGATTCAATGGTTTTGTTAAGTCCTCTGAGATGACTTCTGTTGAGATTTAGGGCTTATACAAGAATGTATCGTATTGTATTACTTCCTGTCCCTCATAGGCTTTTGCGCCATTTTGTGACGTCAGCTGCAACCCAGCAATAAACAAAAATAGATGTGTGATGTATTTTTGTTTGTACTGTGCCTTATGTGACATTTGTGGCTTTGATACAGCCATTAGTTACAGTCATTAGTCCCAAATGAAAAGACTTGTATAGGAAAAATGTGAATACGTCAGACCTGCTTTAACCAGATTTTTTGTATACTTGCCAAAAATAGTCAATCGTAGCTTTAGAATTAGGTTCCCTGGCTTTAAGCAATGTTTTTTAAAATTCCAAACGAGGTATTTTAGTGATAAAACTATAAAAACATAACCTGATTGTTCGGTGTTTTTTTTTGTTCCTCTTCCTGGGAAGATATTATATAGACAAATGTATACTACTGTATGAGCTCTCCTTCCTACCAGTGGGGGCGGGTCCCAGCTCAAAAGTGGCCAAAATGTCGTGCGCTGACATGCTTGCAATACCACCCTGGGCCGATGGGGGTGGACCCAGAAGAAGAATTAGCCAATGCTAACATATAGCATCTTCTTACCTCTCAAAAACGTCTTTACAGGATGGTCCAAAAGCTGGCTCTTGGCCCAAAGCTCCGTTCCACATGTGTGTCAATGCTGAGGGGAGTGAATTTTTATGGACCACTCTAGTTTACTTGCTGTGAATTTTTGAAGTTACTCGTTTAAATGAATGGGTCTTGTGCCGGCTGACGCATGCGCAGATGCGTTTTTTTCAGAATTTCTTGTGGGCGGGACCACTCCCTGCCATTTTGGATAGCTCCAGTAGAGCACTATTTTTGTCCCATTTGTTTGAACAGCGGAGATAGGCGTGACTACGTCCTGTAATATTTACAGTCTATGCTTCCTACAGGGCGGTCGTGGGTTTGTGCTTCATCGCCTTCTGCCTGGACCAACTGAAGAGCGTGCGCCACAAATGCCCTCAATGCCGGAGCACCATCCACACCTTCCACCCCTTCTGATATGGGATACTATTGTGTGGCAGTAAATTCTTAAATCATGTGTAATACTGCAACTTCAGTATGTCACAGAAGAATGTCACTTTACCTTATGTCACTTTACTTATCTACTTATTATCCTGCACTATATGTACAGTACATAACTCTGCACTACTACATGTATATATTTGTTGACTGGTATTGAAGCATTTCAAGCATCTACAGCCAGTTATGCTAGTTAAGAAACATAGCTACTACGTATTTTGTATATATTGTGTGATCCCTGTGTGCTCTTACTACTGTCCTGTATGTGCGCTGCAACAACGAAATTTCCCCACTGTGGGACGAATAAAGGAACTCTCATCTTATCAGTCCATTCCTTCTGATGTGAGACACTGTCTTGATTATCCTCCTCCACATCTGTGACATTCTGCTCATGTTAGCGCCTATTTTAGGCGCAGCCATGCTTCAGTGACCAATTGTGAACAGAACCCGACATTAGGGAAATATCCAGGAACGGAAAAGAGGAAGATGGAAATGCGATCTATAATGCAAAGTCGTGCTCATGACTTGACCTGATATATGTGGAGACTGTGGACGAGAGTTCTATTGCATACATATAACCTATATTTAACATATATACTGTATATAACTTGTAAACTGTGCAGTCGTTTCTTTTGCACTGTTCCTGTCTTTGTTTGAATCGTAGCTGCGTCTGTTGCATTCCTCCTGCACTTATACATTTTTCATGTTTGCCTCAGATATTTACCACTTATTTTGCTGTTTGTGCTGAATACAATTTAATAATAACTATGTTTCCAACAAGAACTGTGTTTTTTCACAGCATCACACTTAAATGAGTCCATAGAAATAATGAGTCCATAGAACTACCACATAAACCTGTAGGTTTATGTAGAACCACATGTAATGATCTCAAACAGCTTCCCTATTGGTTTTGTTCTGATAAATGGGACCGCTTTGGTTTCTAAACTCCTGTGAGAGCGCAATCTCGTGTGACATGATTTATTTAGAAATATGAGAGTTGACTCTTGTATTTTACAGGAGTTATTATTTGTACAAACATGGTGCAAAGTAATTCATGATTTGATAAAAGAAATGTTAATGGCTAGCTAGTTAAAATGGGATATTGTGACTTCACAAGACTGTCTTAGAAGTGATCATTTGAAAATATTCAATTAGAAAAATGTGCACTTGAGAAAATCCATCCATCCATCCATTTTCTACCCTTTAATCCATTTCTGGGTCAGGGGGGTGTCAATCAGAGATGCCACCCAAGTCTCATAGCACCAGCCCCTCACTGACCCTCTGCAGGTGGTGAGTCCACAGGCGGACGGCTGCTCTTTGAGTGTGAGCATAGCCTTGATCTTTCAGTGGGGGCTTTTGGGCAAAGTGGGGTTAAGTGTCTTGCCCAAGGACACAACGACAGCAGTCATCAGTGGGAGTCGATGGAGAAGGTGCAGAGGTGGGAATTGAACCCACGACCTTCTGGCCTTAAGGCCAATGCTCTACCAACTGAGCTACTGTCGCCCCCACTTGAGAAAATATAAAAATAAAGTGTTGCAAATTGATATTTATCTGTTTATATATATATATTATATATATATATATATATATATATATATATATATATATATATATTTATTGAGAGAAATCATTAAGATGATCAGTGTTTCGACAAAGATAAATATAATTAATTATTAATAATAACAGAGGTAAAGGTAAATTGAGCAAATTGGCTATTTCTGGCAATTTATGTAAGTGTGTAACAAACTGGTCGCCCTTCGCATTAATCAGTGCCCGAGAAGTAGCTCTTGGTTTCAAAAAGGTTGGTGACCCCTGATCTACATCAATCCAAACCTAAAGAGGAGTCCTGCTGCCGTCCTGGAGCTGAAGTCGACAGCTGAACGGTAAGAGTGTCTTTGTAGTAACTGCCACAACATAACGTCTGCAAAATCTAAAAGCTGCACTAACTGACTTTATTTTTGTATCATTAAGAAAATGCTATCCATGTCCATGTAGTGCATTGGATATACGTCCTTTTGAAGAAACAGTAGCGCAGATTTGTGCTGCCGTGACATTATATTTTAGATCGAGTTTTGATGAAACAAGGAAGAGAACGTGTTTTGGGCCCAGATTGTGGCCCATCACAGCGGACCACTGGCCCCCACTTTTGTGAGAAATCTACAGGTCTGTTAGCATAGACAGCTGAGTTAGCTCAACAAACGGCGGAGCTAACCTGAAGCTTCCTAATCTTCGTCACCGGTTACTGCTTACACAGCGAGACAGCCATCCATAAGAAAGACTCGTTCCTCCGTGCTTCCCGGTTCTATTGTTCTATGGTCACACCATCCACGTGCAAATCCATATCCATGTTTTTATCCATACTGGGAGACGCTAGCTCCATCAACAACAGTGGGTGTGTGGGGGGGCGATAGCTTCGTGGGTGCGGGGAGGGGAGCAGAAAGAGCGAGGCCAGCGAGTCCGAACTTCCCCAATGTTTCAGAGCAGAAAAGCCTAAGAGTCACGCTGAACGCAGATATCTGAAACTGTTTGGCAAAGGAACAAAAGAGAATTGGTGAGGAATAAATGGATTGCTGATGTGTTGACTGTTTATCACAAGCTCCATGTCAATACAGTCATCTGCGCATGCGCTAAGACCCAGAGCCTTGACGTCACTTTGTTTTGGAGAACATGTGAATCGGTGAGAAACTGGGAATTTCACTCATTACAAGTAAACAAAACAGTGTCAACAGCCAAAGTTATTTAAAGGAAAAGCATTCTCAAATTTGATTTATTTATTTTGTCAAACTGATGAGTAATGAACGAGTTATTGCTCATACATATGTTTGTTTACTGGGTTGAAATAATCCTACAGATGTGTTCTGCTCTTTTATGTAAATTAATGATTTTTTGCATACAGAAATTATCTTTTTGTTTTGCTATGTACAGTAAATGAAAAATACTGTATATTGTACATTTTTAGAAAAGTTAAATAGATAAATAGTCATGACTCAAGCAAGACATTTATAAGCCTGTATTTTAATACAGGTCAGGGGCCGTATGCCTAAAGATTCTGAGAGTTCTCTCAGAGAGCTCCTAACTTAACCTAAAAACTCCTAACTAGAAGTCTTAGCTTAAAAGTCATTCCAGAACATTCTCAGAGAACTCTGAGCAAGGAATGGACAAAAACTTACTTTTAAATCATACATACAAAATGTGTGAAATCTTTGGCCCACTTGCACAGTGATAGTTATATGTATTTGATTATATTAATTGCCATGCTCGTCATTCATTCTCTTTCAACTTTTACCATTTCTACTCACTTTGGTATAAGGGTAAAATGGCACAGCTGTGATCCCTGACCAGCCTAAAAGAAGCTGCGTTGGTTGACTTTCAAATATTATATTGCAGTTCACCGAGATTCGACCATTCAGGAGGAGCAGTGTGGGCCGGCCGTTGAACACTGGACCAGCTCTACACTCTCCATCGGATACTCGAGGGTTCATGGGAGTTCGCCCAACCTGTCCACATGTGCTTTGTGGATCTGGAGATGCCGTTCGACCGTGTTCCCCGGGGAGTCTTTTGGAGGGTACTTCAGGAGTACGGGCTCCAGAGTCCTCTGCTGAGGGCCGTCCGGTCCCTGTATGACCAGATCCAGAGCTGTGTTCTCATCAGCAGTAAGTCAGACCTGTTCCCGGTGCATGTTGGCCCCTGCCAAGGCTGCCCTTTGTCACCGGTTCTGTTCACTATCTTTATGTACAGAATTTCTAGGCACAGCCAGGGGCCGGAGGGGGTCCAGTTCGGAGACCACAAGATATCATCCCTGCTGTTTGCGGACGATGTTGTCCTGTTGGCTCCAACGAACCAGGACCTGCAACATGCCCTGGGACGGTTTGCAGCCGAGTGTGAAGCGGTTGGGATGAGAATCAGCACCTCCAAATCCGAGGCCATGGCGCTCGACCGGAAAAAGGTGCCCTGCCCTCTCCAGGTGGGTGGAGTGGTCCTTCCTCAAGTGGAGGAGTTCAAGTATCTCGGGGTCTTGTTCACAAGTGAGGCAAGGATGGAGTGTGAGATTGACAGGCAGATTGGTGCAGCGTGCACAGTGATCGGGTCGCTGTATCGGACCGTTGTGGTGAAGAAGGAGCTGAGCCGAAAGGCAAAGCTCTCGATTTACCGGTCAATCTTCGTTCCCTCCCTCACCTATGGTCATGAGCTTTGGGAAATGACCGAAAGAATGAGGTCGCGGATACAAGCGGTCGAAATGAGCTTCCTCTGCAGAGCTGGGCGCTCCCTTAGAGGTAGGGTGAGGAGCTCAGTCACATCGAGAGGAACCAGTTGAGGTGGCTCGGGCATCTGTTCCGGATGCTTCCTGGACGCCTCCCTGGGGAGGTGTTCCGGGCACGTCCCACCAGGAGGAGGCCCGGGGCAGACCCTGGACTTGCTGGACGGACTATGTCTCTCAGCTGGCCCGGAAACGCCTCGGGGTCCCCTGGACGAGCTGGAAGAAGAAGTGGATTAGAAAGTCTGGGCGTCTCTGCTGGAAAAAAAAGAAAATGGATGGATGGATGTATATTACAGTTCACTTGTTGACCACAAACAAGTGAACTACAGTAGAGAATAAAAGAAAGAGGAAACCCAACTGGACAGAGGAACAGTGTTGCTTCTAGGTCAATCGGTCAAATTTACATTTGACCCCACTGTCCTCCAGTGTTCAAAGAATATCTCTCCTGTCTCTTCCGTCCGTCATTTTGACCTAACCTTTGACGCTCTCTGAAGTGGTAGGATTCTTTAGGAATAGCTTTTTTCTTTCTGTGATTCTTAAGTTTTCACTTAAGAGTACGTCAAGATCCTAAGAATATTCTTAGAATTCGGCTACTATGAGCAACTGAACTGGATCAACCCACCCGTCCCTCAAATTCTAACTCAAATTCACCCGCAAAATCCACCGGTCCCTCCCCTAACCCCAAAACCATTCCAGCCCCACCCCCACCCCCCTCGTTTAG